TAGGGGAAAGACGATAAATATGTTATTGACCTGGATAGTCCCTTCAAAGACAACAAGAACAAGATGGCAAAGCTATAGTTGAAATTGAAGGCCATTATTGATAAATTCAAGAAACATGCAAATGAACTCCAGATAGTTCCTATCGATGGAGGGCTCTAATGGCGTTTCCGTTAGGGAACAGGTTCAGCAAAGGATGAAAGCCAAAAATGCAATCATTCGATGCTTCTAGGAACAAATACAAAAAAATAGCATGTCACTTACACGGTTTAGCCAGAGAAACTGGAGTGGTTTGACATGGTATTCAACTGGTGACAGACGAAGGACGGTTGCGACACAACAAAATCAAATCCAAGCTAAAAATCATGCAAACCAGTCAACACGAATAAAAAATAGATAACATACAAAAGGAAAATGGAATAAAAATCAAGCCAAAGAAGGATTTTTTCCTTCAGTTCGAAATAACTCACACAAAAAGGGAACCAAATTCCCTTTTGAGTCATCGATTTTGGGACAAAGAGGAATTAATCCTTCGATTTTCGAAAGAAACAAATCCTCCCCATGCACTATAAAACTCCTGCAAAACAAGAAGAAAAAAAGGGGGAAACATCAAGCTAAAAAGCATTCGAGACCCACCGAAAAAATCATAAAAATTTGAAAAGAGAGAGAGACTTAGCTTCATTTTTTGCTCGGAGGAGGAACGATTGCCAGGAAGGTGAAGGGAAGCCGTCGAACAAAGGTAAAAATCGAGACTTTAAGTGTAGATCTACGCCGGTGGGGAGTTTTTTTAGAATATTTGGGCCTTGGTTTTGTGTTTAGGGGTTGGTACCGAAAAGGCAGTACAAGGGTGCTCAGCCTTCCTTGACTGTAATCGATTCCTTAATCCGACTAATTTCTGGTAAGTTGCAGATTAGATAAATGGTAAGTTTTAGGTGTCCGATCAACCTAATTTGAAGTGATCGGTGGCGACTCCATCACATCAAGTCGAAACGCAATTCCGGAATCACCCGAAGCACAGTTGCAACAGAACCAATGTACAACAAGCACATACTTTTAAAAGTATTATCGATCAGTTTTGTTTTGTATCAGCTGCTAAATTTAGTTACGAGAAATCCAAATATTATATATCTCCGGCAGTTAGAATGGACATTAGGCGAAGGTTTGGGCAAGTCATGAACATGACGGCTTCTTCGGACAAGGGAAATTACCTCGGGGTCCCTCTGATACATGGTCATGTGTCCAAAACCACCTATAGTGATCTTGTTGACAAAGTTAAGATGAGATTGAGTAGCTGGAAATCTAAATTTCTCTCGGGTGTGGGAAGGTCTATTCTTATCAGCTCTTTACATCTGTTATTCCCACTTATAATATGTTGACATCTCGACAACCATCTAGCGTTGTAGATGACATTGATAAAGTTAAACGGCGATTCTTATAGGGTGGAAGTGTTGAAAAACGAGCTACACATTTGGTTGCCTGGGATGAGGTCTGAAAATCGAAACGGTTTGGAGGTTTGGGCCTTCGTTCTATGGCGAAACTTAATGTCGTGCTACTTCAGAAAAAGACCTAGAGATTCTTAAACCAACCGAACAAGCTTTGGGTGAAGGCCCTTAAATCAGTGTATGGAGTTCGTGGCGATCCTTTGAAATATGCAGCTGACCCCTCGAACAAGTCTCCTCACTGGTCGCACACCTGGAAAAGCATTGTTTTCAGGCTGCAAGGCCTTGGAACTGGAATGTTGAGACGAATTGGGAATGGAGAAGATACTTTGTTTTGGATAGACAATTGGCTGGGAAGACCTCTTTCTCAGGATCGGGATATCTTTCCTAGCGTTGTCAAAACAATATAGTTGATGAAGAAATTCGTCAATTGTAGACCAGAGGCCTATTAGCTCAGCTTGTTAGAGCGTTGTGCTAACACTTTTTTCCAAACACATGTTACTTGGTTTCTCCTGAACAGGGAGGCCAATCCAAGGCAAAAATTGTTCAACTAACGGAAGCATGTAGGAGTGAAGGAAGAACAAATGGTGTAAGCCTGCGGCAATTAAGTTAAAGAAATTACCGATCAACTTCAACTACTGCCTGCTGGAGGAACTGTTTTGTATAATAATAAAAAGGACTGATAGACATCCTCCATTTTATTTTCAGCATGGATGCAGTTCCAAAAACAAGCAGAGGAACGTTAGATAGGCTCAACTTTGTGGGAAGAATATGAATGACGCTCCTTCTTGTATTGTTTGTGGACATGTCATGGAATCAATGGGGAGAATTGGGGCTATATAGGTTGTCTTTAACTCTTAGGATGAAAGGTGTATGGATGTGAAATCAGGTAATCGTTCAGGTTTCAGTCGGATCCTTTCACGTCAGGTTAAATCAGATACAAGTCGTGTCATGCCAATTTTATGGTTCAATTCGGATCAAGTCAGGTCCGGGTCAAATCAGTTTGGGTTATTTTCAGGTTGATTTGACATCAGATTCAGTTCGATTTCGGATCGGATTAATTTTAGTTCGGATCGATGTCAGTTCAAGTCAAAATGGTTCAGGTCTAAATCAGTTAAATTCCATATTAATTCAGGTTCGGATGGACATCAGTCGGATCTCGTTCAGATCGGGCCACATCATTGACACACAAAATTCAGGTCGCATCTTACCCGATACAAATTGATTTCAGGTCGGGTCATTTTTGGGTTAATTATTTTTCTTCTTTCATTAACGACGAATTGTAATTTGTAATTGTATATAATTTGAAGTAAATTAAAAAATATAAATAATTATTGGTCAATTTTAATAAAAATATAATTTTAAGGACTAAATTGAACAAACATGAAATTACAAATTGAAATTTAAATAAATTAAACAATAAGCATGGATGAGGGATCAATCGAAATAATTATCAAATGTTAAGTTGAAATTAATATAAAAATGGAATAATTTAAATATATTTAAAAAGTTGGTGCACAAGTTTATAAGGTTTGAATATTATAGTATAATTTTAAGGACTAAATTGATTAAACATGAAATTATAAAATATAATGTAAATAAATTAAACAACATGTATGGATCAAATTAAAACAACTATAATACATACATATAATATGTATGATGAATGTTATGATACATGTATATATAATGTATATTACACATGCATCCATTATACTTATAATATATATAATATACTTATGCGTATAATATATCAATATATATATATATATATATATTGATATAAATGTGTGTGTATATATATATAAGTATATATGTGCATGTATGTACATATGTATGATATGTGTATATATATGCATGTATGTATGATGCATTTATATATATATTTATAAATCTCCTAATTAGTTTTAAAAAATAAAAGATAAAAATAGTATATGTATATATATATTAATATTATAGATATACTTATGCATATGTATACTTATACTTATACTTATTTAATAATAATAATAATAATAATAATAATAATAATAATAATAATTATGCGTATAAGTATAAATGTATACAAAATTAAATTGCATTAGATTAAAAATTCAAGAAGAGATTTATAATTAAATCATGAATAAAATGAAAGAAATCAAAAACGAAATTACAAAGTAGAAAAACAATGATTGTTGGAGGAGCGTAATCCTAATTAACCTAATATATATATATATATATATATATATATATATATATATAATCTCAAATAAATTCATCTTATGTGTATATTTTAAAATTTTAAGTTAAATTATATTTAAATTATTAATTAATCATTACATAAAAAATAATTAAACTTATAAATATTTAAATTAATTTTATATAATCTAATAAAATCATGTTCAATAAAAAATTATTTAATAAAATTAATTTAATGATTATAATTAAAATTTATATATAAAATTTATAATAGAATGGATTATAATTAATATATAAAGTAAATTTATTAATTTAATTATCATAACTAACAATTTGTTTCAACTTTTTAATGTTTTAACAATTTATAAATTCAAAATCTCACAACTTAATTAATTGTAACTTATAAGTCAGGTGAATATCAAGTCATGTAAATATTAGATTTTGTCAATAACAAGTCGGATTATTTATATGTTGAGTCAATTACAGGTCAGGTTGATAACATGTCGGGTAATATCAGTTATATACAAGGTTAATCTCGGGTTTAAATTCATATCAGACGAATGCATGTCGGGTTCGGTTATCATATTATCAATTTAATTTTGGTTTAGATCGTTCTCAAATCGATTGCAAGTCAGGTTCAGATCCAATTCGGGTTCAGGTCAACACTAGTTTGGACTCGAATCGATTTTGAATCAACATCATTCAGGTCACAAATAATTTTAACTCAAATCGGTTTAAGTCAATTTTATAGATCGGACTAATTTTTTACATCCCTAGAAAAGTGGATTACCAGAAAAAGTTTTTTTTTGCTTTAGAAAGAATGCTGTTTCTTTTCCTTTTTAATGATGATCACTGCTTTTTGTAAGATATTGACATGATTTTTTTTTTATATTTGAAAAAAAAATTAAGTACTTGAAATAGTTCATCTTTATAATTACAATAACTAATATCATTAATCATTTTAATTAATTAACAGTCAAATTATATCGAACTAAAAAATAAAGAATTTCAACATTGTAAAATAATTAATTTAATAATCTTAAATTAATGTAAAATCAAATAATTTTACATTGTAGAAGTAAATCGTAATATATATATATATATATATATATATATATATATATATATTAGACTGTAGAAAAAAATAATATTTTAAATTGTGTTTAATTTTATAATGTATTAACCATTTGACATCGAACGCTCACATTACTGTCATTCTTGATGCTTAAACCCGGAAAATTAAGGAATGACCACAATTCTTTCACCAGTGAGATCGTTCGGTTCGTACAATAAAAACCCTATATATAATATATTAAACACAAATATAACACTATATCTAAGCAAAAACAAAATAGAAACATGCGACTTTACATCCTCCATTCAGTTTAAACAAAGGCATTTGATGAAGAGAAAAGGAGAGGAAACGAACTTGTTCAATGGTTTACATCCCAACAAGTGTATATTTAGATGGTGTAAAGTCTTGCACATAATACCAATACTATATAAAGTTCCCTTGGCAGCTTTTAGATCTTTGGTTTTATAGAATAGAAGAAATCTTTGATTCTTCTCCATTCAGCATCAACAGTCTTCTCTTCCTTCTCGGCAACCTTGGCATCGGCTTCACACTCTGCCAGTTCCTCTCCCAATGCTTCCAACTCCTTTTTTATTCTCTTGGAATTTGAGAATATCCCCTTCCCTTCAGCCAGCATTTTCCCCCTTTCCTTGTGTGCTTCTTCAATTTGCTTATTAAGGGCAACAAGATTTTCCTCGATCCGATTCACCTCCGATTTGACATCCTTGTATCTGGTTAGATTAAGGTCCAAATTAAGCGTAAGTTCCAACTTGACAGATTCCTTCTCGGTAAGATGATCCTTGTCCCGCTTGGCTTTCATTGCTCGATCAGCTAGTTCATGCAAGCTTTGCTCCATGGCTGACAGCACATTTTTTTTTCTTTGTTGTAAGAGTGGTAGCGGAACAATAAAAGCTAGCTAGGATCTTGAATGCCTTCTTATGACTTGGAGAACTCTTGCAAAAACAGTAAAAATTAACAGGGGTCATATTCAGGGCTTCCTCTACTTTAGCCAGTGCTTCCTTTGCTTCTTCTCGAGAAAAAACAGTTCTACAGCTTAGTTCAGACTCTAAGCTAGTGAAAAATGTGTTCATATCTTCATCAGTAGGCTCTTCAGGTTCAATGGCCTAAAATGGTGGAAAGAAAGCGATGATATAAGTAATATATGCAATAATATAATATTAACAAGTAACTTACCTTACTTACCTCATCCTGGCAAGAAGGCTGAGTTGGTGGAGTTGTTAATTCTTCTGCCTTGGTTATCATAGTTTTCTGGTTGTCTGTGTCTGCCTTAGCACAAATAGCTTCCTCGGTCTTAAGTTTATCCGAATCAGTTTCGACTATTAGTTCATGTGAAATCAAAGCTTTAGTCCTATCAATGGAAAAATAGGCTTCAACCAAGCATGCATCTTTAACAAGATAGCCACTTTTAGGGTCACGTAATTCATTAAGAGGTAAGAATGATGGGAAGCCGAAGACACCATTTCCCTCCTCTGCTGTGAACTCACGCGTAGCGACTGCTAAAAGTAAGAGTATATATCATCACCAACTACTTGAGTAAACAAGATAGAAACAGATTCCAATAAGAAAAAATGGCATGGATAACATATTTGGCTTATGGTCTTTGATTGTCTAGACCATACCAAAGCCTCAAACAAGCTGAGCTATTGGGGGAAATGGGAGACTGGATTCATATACTCCAATTCTTTTTCTCAACCCACAACCAATATGAATCCGAAACTTCGCAGCCGGAGAGGTCGTCATATGATAGGTAGCCCCAGTGTAAACGTAAAAAAGCCGTTGTGAATAACACTTGGAAGATGAATGCATAATACCCATGTGACTCCGTTCCGTGTGTCGTTTATATTGCATTTGATTCTGGTCTATCTTTTCTATTTCTCTACATGTACATTTATGGAAAGCTCAAGCATTCACCACATAGTGAGGCCAGGACCAAGGGAAACATACAAAATAAATACTCGGCCCCCAAAAAGGATAAATGCAAAATAGCCAAAACGGAATAAGAGGAAGCAATATCCAAGGAGAACATATTGTGACAGTAAAAGAAGCAGAACAAGGAATTCAAAGAGACGTCTTTGATGAATTTGAAGAAGAGACCGAGTAAATAACAAAAGGAATTGAATTACACAATTGATTCATGCAGCACTTATGAGCTAACATTCAACAAATGACCCAAATATCAGCTACCCTTCCCCTATTATACTAGACCATCTTTGTATGATGATAAATAAAACAAGTTCACAAAGGGGAAAAAGCAAATAGATAAGTTTCCGCATAAGTATATCCAATTTTTTAGAATCAAAGAACTATACACATCAAAAACCATACCAGCTCATCACTTAGGTAGTTTTGAAATATCTACAAGCAAACAAGAAGTTACCACTCTTTTCAACTCTTCTTCCTCTTCAAGAGCGAATTAGTATAGGTGTCTTGTAAAACGAAGTAATTCGAACAACCATAATCCTTTCGTTTGTTTTATAGAAATCTGATTGCTGCAACAAAATACATTGTGTAACGGAAGTTCTCCTGTTGATTTGATCGATGATTGCGAATCCGAATTGGGTATATGCACTCCACCCAGAAGGCAAAGTTGATGAATCTGCAACACGTAAGTAAATTGACAAATAATCTGCACCGTTTACCTTCGGATAGATAATAATCCGCCTGCCAAACAAGTTGGTATGCAAAATATAACTGATGGGAGATACAATGAAAATCAAAACAAGAGCAACGTTAATGAAGATCAAAGTTACCATTTGTTTCCCTCAACAATAAAATCCTCAGAGTACAACATTTTGCCTTCAATAGTGGAGAAGTTGTCAATCCTCCATGTGAACTTCCTTAGTTTTTCATTAATATCCCTACACTGAAACTTACTACATACTGCACTCAACATTTTAAACGTGAGAACAGAGACTAGAGCGTAGGATTTAGAAAGTGAGAAAGCAAAAGAAAACGTCAGGGAAAGATTATACATATTTAAGAATACCTTCCATGATTGAGTAATCTTGTGGTCAACTGTAGAACGTGGAGAGGGAGACTAGGGTTCCAAATTTGATCAAATATTGACGACTCGAGTCCTTTTATTCCAAAAGTTACAATATAAATAGGGTTTGCGTTTTTGTGAAAAATATTGTTTTTCAGCCTTAAATATTAAGTCAGTTTTTAATTAATAATTTGTATCTAAACCAACTAATTCAGATTCAACTTTACAAAATTCATTATATAGGCAACTTTACAAAAATAGTAATTAACATTTGTATAAGTTTTTGTTTTCCTTAGGCTTAAATACACCTTTTCTTCCTTGATACCTTTTATACTTAGTTGCCCCTAAAATAATTTTCGGGAAGTTTTATACTCACCTTTAAATCATTATCATGTTTGCCCCAAATAGTTAATATTGTTAAAAAAATTATCAGAACGATCATAACACACCACATCACCTCTTAATTTTTATTTTCTTTTATCTAAATAAATAAAATCAATTAATAAAGTAAAATAAGTAAACTACCGAAATTACTCTTGTTCTTCCATCAACACTACCCTCTTTCCTCAACCCAACCCCCTATAAATTAATGACCCATCGATTCGATGATAGCTGCGAAAAACGTCCTTGGACTCGGAGTTGGAGGTATCCAATCTCCGATGATATAAACATTATCATCAATACCAGCCATGATAATTCCAAGTCTTGGAGGCTCAATGCTGGTTCGATTCGAAATGCAGACTGTAAAAAAAGAACAAGAGAACTGGAAATGATTCCACTTTTGTTCATATTTTTACCCTTTTTTTACTTTCATTTTTTTAAACATAAGAACTAATTCAAAAAATAATTCCAAAATCGATGAACATATCTTAAAGGAAAAGTAATCAAATTCAAGAAAAAACTCAGGTCTTTGAATGATGTTCCCCAGCAAGATCTAATGATAAAGGAATTTGAATCATACCAAGCTGATGAAGATAGAAAATGATGAGCAGCAACTAGAACAAAATCCAAATCTTTGATCTTACTCTTTTCAATACACATGAAAATTAAAAAAAAAATCAACTTTATTCATGGGATTTTGAAAAGAAACAAAGGGTTAAGAAGTTTATTCACCATGAAAATTTAAGTTCAAGATCTTGCTTTCGGTGATGCTAGAATGAAAGATGTAATTAAAATGTTTTTGAAATGATAATATAGACGGACTTGCCTTACATTTTGCACATTCATGGAGGGATTTGGGGTGGATGAACCAAGCCCAAGGTTGCTTTGCTCCTCTTACATAAAGGAGTATTAGTTACAAATTGCTAGGATTGTAAACAACAATAATACATATAATGTAACATCATAATACAATTATTGTAATTAGTATAACAACCCACTTATTTGCATAAAAAACAAAAAGACTCTCTTTGAGGATATAAATTGTTGAATTTAAGGATCTTTTGTTGTCAGTTCTTGTAAAAGACATGGTTATGATAGTTGATTCTTGTAGGAGTTAGGGTGCAGATATAACACCCCAAATTTTGGCCTAGTAGTTTTGAGTTTATCCAAGAGGTAAGTGGACATCATAGATTTCATGGTTTAAGTTGTTGGGTTTAATTGGGTTGGATTTGAGCCTAATTAGTCATAAAAGGAGATTTTTAATTATGACATAAATTACGAGGGACCAAATGAGTAATTATACCATTTATGGAAATTTAAGATATAATTTAGTGATATATAGGATTTTGGACGAGGGGTTTTCCCCTTCCTATTCATTTTCTTCCATTTTGAAGTGTATTTCTAATCTTTTGAAGTGTTAAGATTGTCATAAGAATGAAGTTTGGCTAAGATTTGAGTGATTAATCATTTTAGGATTTATTTTTGATATTATGATCAAATTACCTATTAGGAGTTAAAAATACATTTTTATGATACTTTAAGACCCCAGTTAACCCCTAAAGCTTTAGCATATGATTAGAAACCAAACTATGGCATTTAGGATGATTTTTGGGTGATTTCTTGAACCTAAATAACTATTTCAAGGTTCGAGTATCGATACTAGGATAAATAATATTGATATTGGATGAATTAGGGCAAAAATTAGGGATTTCAGGTTGGGAGTATCGATACTGCCAGTGGAGTATCAATATTGCCCCAACAGTATCGATACTCAGGGTGACATTATCGATACTGAGCCCTATTTTTTTGAAACATAATACATTTTTGGTATTGATACTCATGGGAGCATCGATATTTGACACTAGAGTATCGATACTACAAGTAGAGTATTGATACTACTCACCTTAGAAGGTTAAATTTGACCTCTTTAAGGCCCATAAGAGTGATGGATGATTATAAGGGTAGACCTTAGTCTGTGAGGGACGTAAATTGACAAAAGGGCACAAAAGCACTCATATGATTGGGTTACAACCGAAATAACCATAGTAAGCGCAACACATAGAAGTTTCTTCAGTCAAGCACGTAGAGAGTATCTAAGGACAAGATATTACTGTCGAGGATGTACCGAAAAATAATAGGACAATTTCATCAGATTACGAGCCAGCGAAGTCACGAACTACAGGAATGTCAGTGAATGATGGGTGTACAATCGTCTCTCTAATTCAAGAGTGAATTAAAGGAAAACATAACAGGAGAGACTAGACGTTACTCAGAGTTGAACCCGAATCAGGTATCGGGTAATCGATTAGTAAAGGCAGTGATCAGCAACCATGAAAATCATCGTAGAAACCTTGAGAACACGTATAGACTTCGACAGATGCAAAAAATGACTAAAATGCCCTTAACTATCGAAGAACCAGAATAGAACATCCCTAATAAATAACATTAATAATTGTTTAATAAGCCTCTGTTTAACATTTTGGATGAGAGAACGAGTGGGATAGCAGCTAGGAAATGCAATAAATGAGAACAAAAATAGCTTAGATAACTAAAGAGATAAATATCATAAAACTAGCCTTTGTGTGACACTCGGGAAATAGCCAGGACACATGAGTTACTTTAGCAGTAGGCCAGTGGTCTTGTTTGTCTGTATGTCAAGTTATATATCAATCAGTTCTACGAACTTCTTTTTCCAGTTGGGCGTAGATGCCCTAAGAATTGGTGGAGTAAGCTGACGGGGTATATGTTTTCAATGTAGTTTCGACCATGAGCTCGAGATATAGTCGTTCAATCGCACCATGATGCTTACCTTAGCTCGTGTGTCATATAGCAGTGTAGGTAGGATAAAGGGGTATGTGAGCTATGAGATGTAGCCCTTCAGATGCACCATGATGCCTACCTCAGTTTATGTGTGTTGTATAGTACTATAGGTAGGCTAGAGGGGTGTGTGAGCTCCGGGATGTAGCCCATCATCTGCACCATGGTGCTTACCTCAGATATGTGTATATGTTTATGTGATGCATAACAGAGTTAGTCTTGCATTTAGATAATGCGTAGTAGTCACAATTATTAGAGTTATAGACTCTTTAGTGGTATACTCAGGGTGAAGCCCTTAACAGAGGACTAAGGGAAGTTTGAGACTCCTAGTTCAGTGATAGAACAATAAAGCCTTAAGTAGGTAACACTTGATCTATATCATGTATATGCCTACTGCTTAGTACCATATCTTTAGCACGTTTATGTTTATGAAAATCTTAATGGTTCTTTAGATTAGCGATTATACTACTGGGCTTTGTAAGTTCAACCTTCAGATGTTTTCCGTTGACAGGTCAGTAGCTTGGGCAGTTCGTGGATCACCGTCACAACATGACTTTTAGCATTCTTCTTTAGAGTATTGTATTGTAGTTTATAGGGCATGTGTATTTACAAGACCTTACTTATGTATATAGATTTATAAGAATATGTTTGTATTATTTTGATTTTAAATTATGTGTCACGGAGCTCCGATTTGTAAAATGTTTTTATAAAGGTTATTTATGTTTTCTTTAAGATACCCTTTAGCATGTTTGAAAAGAAAATGAATAAGTTTTGAAAATTAGGGGTTGCCTTGGTAGCCCAATGTGGTACTTTAACCCCTATCGGGTTTAGGGTGTTATAGTAGATGTGGAGGCTAACTTGCCATTTTAGAAAGGCTTTAACTTCCATAGAGGTTATGGGGGGATGAACAGAAGAAAAACAAAGATTGGGCTTAAGCCAGTGAGAATTTCAAGTTCAAACACTTGCATATTTTTTCTATATAAAATTTATGTTAAGGAGATGTTAACAACCACAGTCTTATCGTAGAAGAATTGAGAGAGGAAAGGATACATTGTCAAAAAGAGATCGTGGTCAAGACAAACAAAAACATGACCAAGACATCACATCGTGAGAAGAACGTGATTAAGAACATGATAGACAATGAAATATTCAATCCATGCAGTAAATTCATGGCGAACGAAGATATCAGTATCTTTCAAGGAATTTCATAGAACTATAGATCAAGAAAAAGAATAATGAAAGAAGTCTGCACTGAAAGTCCAAAAGTATTGATAGTCATGATATCCGTTACTGGAGAAAAGACCAAGGAAAAAATATTAGGGTAAACTATGTCAATAGTCTCATTTGTTTTCAGTTTGACTGGCTTTGGTCACTGACTTTTTAATTAAGTATGCTTGGTCCCTTACGTTATCGGTACATTCGATTTAAGTCTCTTGGTCGTTAACTTCCGTTAACTCAATAACAGGATTTTTAGTTGGCAATTAAAAAACCATGTGCCTCCTCTTCCTCCTCCTAAGTCTCAACTCTCAATCTCAAACCACCATCGGCTCAAACAAATGTTTAAGATGAATATCTACTTGAAGTTTCCAAATATAGGTAATGTGGAGGATTCCAAGATCTGTCATCCGATATAGTTCGACTTCTATCTGTGTAGCCATGCTGGAATCCAAGTACGGAATCCAGTCTTATATTTTGTGTCTTAATGGGTTCGAATTAGAAATTGGTACTTAGCATAAGGTTTGAGGATTGTTTGTTGGCATGCTGCTGCAAGTCTACTAGCACTTTATGTCTTAATATGTTTTTAAATTGAAACTGGAAATCGACAGGGGACAAGTAGACCTGCTCGGTGCACGCGATTTGTTTCAGTTGGTAAC